AACCGCATGCATGCTACAAGGAATGATCTCTAATCTGTAAGCGTCGCGATGGAGGCTAAAAAATTGGATAAAATCTATAAATAATCGTTACTTAAATATTAAAAGTAGTATTGTTCTAAGATGATGTCGGGCATCAGCGAATAAACATGGACTCTTCACAAAGACAGTGTGCCACGCTCTGTAACCGACGACAAAAACTATATATTGTGCGTGTAAGTTATGACAGTAGTTTCGAATAACGCCGTGCACCCCAATTTTGTTATCTAAAAAAATTAGTCGGTCGTCCAAAATAGTTTTTGAGTCAATCAGCGGACTGGCATATAGTATGTGGAGTCTAAAGCAAATTAAGGTTCCTACCTTGTACGCTCCTTGTGAATGGAGAAGTTCGGCAGCAGTGACAAAGTCACTGACATCATCAATAATGTCGTCCACGATGATTGCGATCTTTCCATTCACATTGCCCACTACATATAACTGGGGTTTTTCCTTCGGCTGCAGGGCAGGCAAGAAACCCATCATGTCCTCCATGGCCGGGGTTGGCACGGCGTCCGCGGGTTCAGATAGACTATACAAATTAAAATAGCAGTACTGAATTAAAACGTAATACAACGCATTATCCTAACAGGGAATCTGCATCAAACTGTAGTCGAGCATTTGTTGTGTGGGAAAATGAGAGGGTCTTTGAATATATAATAAGGTAAAGTCATAATCTACTCAAGTGTAAAGCACAAGATAGACAAATATTCTAAAAAGATAGTGGAGGGAAAGCTTAATCCAGAGTAGTAAATTAACATGATTCAAGTGCAAGCTTAAACCGGGAACGGACGTTTGCATTAATGTACATTGGCTACTTTACAGGATTTAGTAGGATGTTTATCACACAAAGCAACATTATACATGAAATGCAGGCAGAGCGTTTAAGAAGAGTCTGTATAAGGAAGGTGAAAGCACATAGGCAAACCGCTAAAAGAAGTGGCCATACGACAATTGTAACTTCAAATTCGACGTTATCGAATTAACGGACAGTCTTCGTAAGACAAACATTGTATTACAAAATAATCAGAGCAAGGAAAAGTCGTCAGAATTTCCATCTAAGAAAAAAACAGGATGAAAATTGCAGCCCTGCATGAATTCTACCCGAATATATCAGGAACGTCGAAACGCGCGTTTACGTGTAGATATACAACGGAAATGACGGTGGCCCTACGCGACTCGTACACACTCTCCGTTCCGCTTGAGACATGACTTACTACACTCAGAGACTACAGTGGCCCAGAAGAGGCTCATTAGCAAGTACTAAAATTTGCAAGAAATTGAGATAAGGATAGTGACTGCAGTAGTCCTACGCTCGGTGTGCCCAATAGTGCCCTAAACTTGCATTCGCAAAACTGAGGAGAAAGTTAATCGTTAGCAAGTCCGGCCCCTTAATCCCAGTTCTGTTGTCTTGGCGCTCTTCCATCACCTCCGATAGTCCAGTGGCTTCAAGATTATAACGCAATCTGTTACTACAGTCGGTCACGTCTGCCAAATGTCTGTGAGGATATAAAGATGTGTAATTTGTCCGGAGACATTTAAAAATTGCAGTTTCCTTTTCATTTTCGGGACTAAAAGTGGCAGCAATGTCAACGTAAAAGATTCCGTTCGGTAGGCGCTCATCGGTTTGTCTCACTTGACCTCTCTACTGAAACTGCGTGAGCATGCCAGCCAACTCGAAGACTTGAGCGTCCAGAATCCCTTTCCGTCATTTTATGTTAACTATTTTCCACAAAAGGCGGGTAAAATAAAACTGTTTGGACTTTCACGCCCTGACTTGGTAAAGTGAGCAGGACCATTTGTGACAACGGAACGTTGTGGAGACTACAGGCTTGTATATTGCCGATTTGATGTTGACGAGAAC